GAGTCTTGCTACACGACTCGAACGGCGACATCCCTCAACGCATGTTGCTCTCACAGACCACGCGCTTGAGGTGAGCCAAATCGTCCTCGATTTTCCGAACCTTCGCTCCAAGCTATTGTGTCCACTCTGTACACTTCGAAAGTCTTGTTTTGACCCTCGCACTTTTGACTTTAAGCATCTTGAAGGACAAAGGTCAGCTGAACAAACTCGTCAAGGCCACAAGGTAAGCAAGCACGAATGATGAGTCGATAATGAGTCGATAAAACCACCACTCAAACAGGCGACCACAAGCAGTGCGCAACATTGACACGGCCTGTTCATGCCGCTCTATAGAGATGAAAGACGCAGGGGCATGTTGATGACTATCCATGTCAAGTCTTCGTTGACGAAGTGGGTCTGCTGCGAAATTTGCGTCAATGGAGAATCGACTTGGCTCGACTGTCGCAAGGAGGAGTTATCTTTGTTCGGAGGATTTTCCCTTTATTTATCATCCAAAACAAACCCGAACCTGGCACGGGAAAGGCTGCTGGAATATGGCAGTTTGTTAGGACAAGCCAAAAAGTCTTTTGACGTCCATAATTCGCAACTCCTGTTGGTAATTCTGCTGATCTGCTGAGGAAACTTGTCGAAACTCCTTGCACTGGTCGATCTCGGCTTTCCGACATGGTGCTTGCAGATGGTCATGATCATGACTCTTGGGCTAGGCGCCGTGAGAGTAGACCTTCTGGCTATATAGAACGTACATAGTCTCTGCCGGTCCATACCTTTCCGGGCTTTCCTCAGCGCTGTTGCGACTGTTCTTTGGCAAGTGGCTCCAGTTCGTAGCAGGCGCACCATCTTCATGATCTGCATGTCTGACACGGGGATATCCAACAAAAAGATGTTCCTCACAAAGTTCTGCCAATAGATGTCTCGCGCGGCAAGAAAACGACTTTGATGCAACACGAACGAGTTTTAACAGCAAAGACTCAGCAGCCCTTCGGTGAACTCCTCGCCTTAGGTGCGCTGAGTGGGCTTCTGGCCATGTGTTAACATCCTGCCGTGCTGTTGCCACTCATGTCGGCTCCTTTTTCACTGCATCTTCACAGTGCTTTCTCTGCTCGTAGCTACCTTCTAGAGGACCTCAGCAATGACAGGCCAGGTCACGTGTAAGTTCGTTAGAGCCGTCCACATCCAACTTTGCAAAGAGTTCTGCCATACCTCAATCAGCTCCAACATCGGAAGCAAGTAGCATGAAACAAGAAGACCCCACCTTACCCTAAAGACCCTGGCTAACTCCTACCCACAGCTAACCCATCCCGCCACCAGTCACGCGCTTCGACACGCACTGCGCAACGATAGGCTGAGACATGGATGGAGACCGACGAAATCTTTGTTGAACAAACAAATATTTCTCCATGGCTCTGTCAACAGAAGCCTTGTCCAAGATGTAATCAGGCACTACCACCTTCTTCTCGAATTCGGCTCTCTGCACCCTCAGCATGCGTGAGGCTTCGGGCCGTGCCATCCAGCACGTTTGCATGTAGATCGGCAAAATCTGTGGATCCAAGGTCTCAGCTCGTCTTTCGTTACCATATCGTTGCCATCCTGGAAAGGGAGTCATATTCCAAGAACAATGCAACAGCAGGTTGAAATCAACCACCAACCATGCTTGCCCATGCAGCGAACGGCGAACCAACATGCTTGCCTGAAGTCTCAAGCACACCGGTACGGCAGAAGGGTAAAACGGAAGCATGCTTGGAGTTGTTCTACAGAGCGAGCACTATTGCACCGCGCAGCATCGGGGCCAAATTGTCCTTGTTTTCTGTTGGCCCTGCACCCCGAAAACAGCTGCCACCCTCGGACGAGGGTCTGAGACCTCCAAGCCCCCCAATCCGTAGCAGGGTATAAGTATAGTGGGTGGCAGGCCCAACATAAAAAAGAAAGATGATGGTGGGCAAGCATTTACCTGATAAGGGATGACTGGCAGGAACGCGAAGAAGGCATACTGAAAATTCGATGATTCATGGGCAAAGGTTTCCAGGGGTCCCTTGTTCTCAAACGCCCAAATCCTACCCAGTAGGGGATGATAGGCGACCCTTGCTGAACCCCGTAGAAAGCCCTGGAAGCCCCCAAATCTGGCTGGCATCTCTGAATCTGCTGGGTCGCAGGCCCAAAACCGAAGATGACATGACGGACGCAGAAACTCCAAACTGTGACGGGAGAGATGCGGCGCTAAGGCCACAGCCTCAACAGAAGACATGGGCCAATCGCCAACCCCTTTTCAGAGATGATGCCCCAATGATGGCTGGCAAATCAAAATCCTGAAATGAACGGGTGGTGGCGAACTCCAAAAATCTTCAAGCCCCAACTCATTTGTGTTGATAGTTTGCGCAAATTTTGGGATCTAACCGTCGGGATGTCCGTCTGTGGATGTCGAGTCCAAGGCTTCAGGAGGAGTCTTCTCATACCCCCCACACACACACATATACATATATATATATATGTATAATATGTGTGTGTGTATGTATGTATGCATGCATGTATGTATGTATGTACACGTACATGTATGTAAGCCCTTGCTCGGCATGGAATGCAACAATCTGACCACTTTGATGCAATGTTCCGTGTTTACATACTGTTGCGGCAAAAGAACCCTAATGAAGGTGATTTAATACAATAGATCTGGGATTTACCCCCACAAATCCACTCTCGTAAGGAAACAACTCACGAAAAATGCCTTTAAACTCTAGTCCCGTCGTGCACGAACAACAAGAAACACACGGCGCACATCCAGACAGGCGGGCCTTCACAGCATCCCTCACACCCGAACAACCGGCAAAGGAAGAACATAAGCAAAGCGCAGAGACCAGGACCGACATGAAAGGCTGTAAATACCGAAGCGAAAGACCCTCCGCAAAAAAAGCCCGACCTGCTACGTGCACAACTCGAGCCTTAACACTGGCAAACACAGCAGCCGCCCACTTCGACAAGAACAACAACAACGACGACGACAACGACGATACAAGAAGATGGCAGAACAAGAACTACCACCGCTACCGCCTCGTGCTGGTTGACTGATTGAGCAGACGCTGCAGCTACCAAAAGTTTACTTACATGTGACGGGGCGCTCGTGAAGGCATCAGAATTTGTTAGGAGTTTCGAATTCACTGCTTGCCAGTCCCCTCTCTCAGCTTTCACTGTTAGACGTTCGGAGCCCAGCCATGCCTGAGGAGTTAAGTTGTAAGATCTGCCACGCATGCCATCCTTGTCAAGCGGCGCAGGGGCTTGCCAGCCCATATTTCAAGCGGGGATTTCCAACGACATATTTTCGTGAGCACACCTGCATGCGCCACAAGCCTTCAAGCCTTTGTGCAAAAGACGCACTGGGCGCAAGGGCCCTGCCACATCTTGCCGGCACAAAGCAGAGAAGAGATCCGAGAAGATCAGACCCACGAAGACGAAGACCCCCCGAGACACCCCCCCTTTGCCCTTTGCTGGCGACGCTGGCAGCCGGCACAAGGCGAGAAAGCGGTCACCAACTTCTTCTCCCTTTCACTTCTCCAATTGTGGTTCACGCAGCGAGATTTTTCTCCCTACATCACTCCAATTGTCTGGCAGCACACGTATGCGATTGAAAAACCTGAATTCAGTTTTTTGTTAGCTTGCGAAGCGGACAGAGACAGTTTGATCTGCAGCTCCTGGTCCAGGCCCTGGAATAAGCCAGAAATCTCGGTAAGCATGTCTTTGGCAGTGGCCGTGAGGAGCTTCTGTTCTTCCCTTGCTCCAGGAAACAGAAGAGACAGCTGAAGGGAAAGGGCCGATTCAGTTGAGCAGCTCTCTGTCCTGACGCGCATGCTCCAAGGCTCCCTCCACGATCACCGCCGTCACCTGACGTAGATGTCAAGATACCTGCTGCTTCTACTGCAGGCCTGCAGGCTCACAAAGTCTATCAGATCTATCAATCAGTCTATCGGGTTCGACAGGAACTTTGGGCACCGACTTGGCAAAGAACTCGCTTGGCAAAGTCACCGCAGGATCTGTTAGGCCGTATTCAAGACTGAATCAACACGAAAACATGATGTGGAACATGTAACGCACTAACAGCGAGCTGTGCTGAACTCGCTCTCTGAGACACCCAGAACCCATATCGAGTGACTCCACGCAGGTGCGTCACTCAACAGCAGCAATTGCGCTCGGAACACGCAAGAACATGCAAGGCAGAGCGAAGGCGGGCCCAACACACTGGTCCGAACCTGCGACACACACACACACATGATGCTCAGGTGTGAGCCAAGTTCATAAGGGATATCGATACCTCAGCGGTCTGTGTTTTTGTTTCTCTGATACAAAGCAACCCACTTCGTTGCAGTTCCTTCTAAGCGTTGGAAGCAGTCGAGACGCCATGATCATCAGTAGCATAAAATAGATCCCCAGTGCAGGCTTTATCTTCATCAGCGGCAACTTGGCTGGTGCTGTCATGTTTAAGATCATGTTTACAAGCACTTTGAGCTGATTGTGACGAGCAAATGATGACACTTACATATGTTTGGAAGAGCAGCATATATGGCCGCGATTGAATCCATGGTGACCTCGCAACGCGCGTATTGTCAGTCTGCTTGAATACTTTCTTGAACTGTCAAAATCCCTGCATAAGCTGCTCGGATGCTCACAAACTGAGTGAGACTGATCATCGAGACGTACAGAGAACCTGAGCTGTGGATTTTTTGCTGCAGCCGACTCAAGTCAACGGTACTGACAGCGAACCGGTGCAGAGCCATCTGTCAAAACGAAAACATGATGCCTCTGAAGTGAAGCTGGTAAGCTGAAATGGGTTTCGACGATGACCTTCGTCTCCTCGTTTGCCAGAAGGTCCGCATCTCTGGCAATGGACTCGAGACCTGAAAGCCCGCCCCGCATCTCGCAGCCCAACTTGCAAGTTCCTGATAAGGCATGCGTGTACCCAAGGAGGATATGTGGCACACAGCACGAGAGGCTTCAGATGATCTCAAGGCTCTGACTGATCACAGCAAAGACATAGATCACCTTGGACAGGTTCGCAATCCGCATCTCTTTCTTGTGGCCCTTCTTTTCCCAGTCTGTTTTGCTGCACTTGCCAGCGAGTCATGTTAAAAATCGCTTGGCTTGTCCCACAAGCTTGCGTGTCGCTGTGTTGCCTTCTAGCCACGGTGGCCTGCAGGAAGTTAGCAAAACCCTTGACCACTCTTGGCAACAATGCCACGATTATCCCACTGCAATTGGACCATTCTTCCCATATCCTGCCCTGCCCCACACCCCGCATCTCCCCCGAACCATCTAAGGAGTACTTACTTCCACGATTCAAAACCCTGACAGTGGCATTGTGATTGCGAACCGGGCGAAAGCTCGCTTATGAAACAGTTCTAGGATTACGGAGACAATTACGGAGGCTGCATCACAGTCCAAGCCGTCTGCGCTAGACAAATTGGCAAACTGATCACTCTTGTCCGTTTGTTCTGTCTGGTGGAAGTTCTGGATGTCTGGGCCAGTTCCTTCGTAAAGGTCAAATAACGCGGGAATGTACGTCTGCTGTGAACTCTTCAAGCTTTCTTAAACTCTAGGAGCACCCAGTTAGTGTTTTCATTGGTTCCTCCCACTGGTCCTTGGGTTGCCTCCTTGTTCCAAAGTAGAATCTCTTCTTCGAGGACACATATCACACTGGTTGCCGCTGCAGAAGAGCATTGCGATCAATGCTGGATCGAAGCCCAGAACTCTGTTATCAACATTCGGGGTCAGATCATGCGGTGTGTGTAGCCTTACATGTACAAGGCTGCGTTTCGGAGACTATTCCGGCTCTGACCGGCCATTTCGATTGATGATAAGTGAAAATGGTTGCCAGCTGCCAAGTGCGAATGTCATACCCTACATGTCCATAGTCAGCATTCCTGGAAACTGACATGGAAGCTAGATTTGCTCCTCTTCAAGAGGACACTAGTCTAGCAGGGCTCCCTTTTCGCCTTGCGTGCGTTGTTGGTGCCCCTGGGGATTTGGGAATGCCAACAGAAGAACAACTAAGCACAAGCTATTTTCATTGCTGACACGCGGCATGACATGGCAGAACATCCAAGCTTTATGAGGTAGTCTCGTCGTTTTTTCGTGGGCTGTTTACATAAGTTTTTGGACTCGCGCGCTCGACGAAGTCAGGCGAGGTATACGGCAACAGACAACGATCCCTTTACATAACGTAAAGCCATCGCTCACGAAAAACAACTTCAGTTTCCATATTCGTCCAAACATACATGGCTGCGGTACGCAGGTTTAACTCTCGCTAGTCTAAGGCTTCCCTGTCTTCCTCAAACTCAGCCCTCCTGGTTTGCGCAATAGATTTTCTATTCAGCAATTTGATCCAAGCCATGTCTTCCGTCTTGAACTTGTCTCAAGAGCTGCTCGGGGCACACCACCAACTTCTCAACATGAATAGCTCTCCCCATGCCAGGTTCCCGCAGGAAGCTTCCCCAACTTAGTTTTTGACATGCCCTTGTAGTTCATCCGTGATACCGTGGGCGTGGGACAATATTAACATGGTACCCATTGACACGGAACACCATCGACGTACGCCAGAGCCAAGGCTTGACATTGAACGTTTGAATGCTGCCTTTACTGAACAACACCGTGTAGCTAGTTGGTTGAGATATCGACCTGATTAGCGAATAAATCGAAAAAGCGGCGAGCACCAGAAGACCCAGAACGGAAAACATGGTTTCACCTTGGCTGTTGCTCGAGCATGGGTTGCCAACAAAGTGATTGTGCAGAGTCTGGACAGAAGCCAGGATGCCGGAGGTTATCAGCCCGTAAACCAGGCGCCAAATCGTACGAAGCTGCTTGACCCTGAAAGGGCTCGTGCTACTGTTCGGTGCCACTGACTAAACATTTTGCTGACCCGAGACGGGCTGAGGCCCCTGCATCTTAAAGGCCCGGACGAGGCGCAATAAACGGAGCGCTCTCAAAACCAGGACCTTCAACCAGTTTCAGCACTCGCGCTGGGACTTGCCAGGTGAGCTTCGACCAGTCAGGCGAGGTCTTCGGTACACGATCTCAGGAGAAAGGCAGTCGCCCAGAGGCCGCAAGGCCTGCTGCATGGCTTGCGCGACCGTCTCCGAAAAGGCGGCGATGATTTGGCCCAGCAGGGTGATAACGACCAAAATGAAGTCAAACTGAAACCATCGGTCATAGAAGCACTTCCTGGGCACATGGCAAGACCGCTAAGCCGTTCGGCCGTCCTCTCAGTTCAAGCTGCAAAGCCGCATCAGGAAAAACGCGACACTTTCCACCCGATCCCACCTGCAGCTAAGTCACTGCCCCTTGGCAACCAGACGCACGGCCAGTTCCTCAGTCCACATCTCGATCCAACCGTCTCTGGATCAGCACAACTCACATTGGCTTGATGACGCTCTCTTCATGTACCAGGAAGCCACCGTGTAGATGGTCAGAAAAGTAACCTCCAAAGGCCTGGCACCATGCACAAGAGCACCTTCAACAACACCAGGACATCCCCGACTAGACTAGTTGCCTTGCCCAGCTGGAGGTGTCTTGGGTCAGCGCAACTTCTGACTCGACGCCGATCAAAATGGAGTTTACCTGGGAAGCGGCGCTTATGTACGCTGGATACGAGATATCCACAGTAGAAAAGTCTCATTCTCCCACTTCACCCGGCTATGCTCCGCTTGAAGTAGAAGCCAGAAAAGTTGGAATGTCGTTATCCTCATGCAAAGGTATAGGGAAGCCTACCACTGCCCTCATCCTAAATCCATGTTCCAACTTTCTGGGATATTCTAGTTTTCACTATTCACTGTAGGCCGTTTTCATGCGCCCCTTTCTTGAAGATGCTGTCCGAAGCCGCAGCTCAACTGAGTGAAATGGTTGCCCAGGGAAACACCCAATGTCCGAAAAAGACGGATGCAGGCAGGCCAGGGTGCGATGATCACCACGCAAACAATTCCCTCGAACCATCGCCCGACAAACCCTTTCTCATCAACCAACATCCTCACGGGATGGCGGGATGATGATCGAAGACATGCTGAAAGTACATCTCAAAATTTCATGATCGGGTAACCGGCGTGAGAGGTCTGCAAAATGATGACAACACTAAAAACTTCGAGCGATGAAAGGAACTTCTGTCAGAGGAAGGGGTTGCTGGGGGAAGGAGGCTGGCGGAGAGCTTGACATCATGTCGGAGATGATGCTAGGCCTTGGTGCTCAGTAGTAGCGATGTTGATGAGCGTGAAGAGGATGATTCTCATGATGGTGATGCTGATCACCACCACGGTGAAAAATAGCCACTGGCATCTGACTAGAGCAGGAAGACGGCACAACAGTGAAAATCGGGATGGCTGCACAAGTAAAAAGTAGTTACACTACAGCCCTTACAGTCATGCGTGGGTCGGATCTTCGAGCCAGGCATGTGACATGCGCAGGTCCTGCACCAAGCCTTGATGAACTGGTAGACACCATCTTTGCAGGATGGCATGCTGGCCGTCGGAGTCTTGATTTGAGACTGCAGCTTCGACAGCAAAGTTCCTGGTTGTCCCCCGCTCTGCTCCTCGGAATGCCTCAGTGCAAAAACACGATCAGCCTTTTGTCTCACTCTTTTCTTTCAGCCGTCCTCAGTGGTTCCAGGCTCAGCGTTCAATGACGGTTACCCCGGAGTCGTTTTTTTCACTCTCTGCCCCCGCGACTGCAGACGAACTTTGGTAAGACATCGGGCAAGACAGTCAGTGTGGCCGCCTAACAGAGAGCCTGGACGGACCCACGATGACTCTCCATGTCGTTTGCTGCAGAACAAAAAGTTGCCCCTGCAGCTTGGAGCCTTAACCCTAAAATTCACTCACCTATTGCCATATCGAATATGCCTCCTGAGAGGGCCAAGGAAGCTACTAAATAAAAGCTTTCGTCATGCATGCCAGCTCCTGGGAGTGGTAAAAGCTCTCGCTTGGGCCACGACTGGCTTTCAGTGGAGGTCTTCTCCGCCTTTTCCTCCTCCTTGCTGCGAGGCTGCGCCGGCGAGGCTGCGCTCTTCTATTTCATTTCATCCAAGACACCAGCTCCGCAATGGCCTTGGTTGTCCAACATTGAAGGGAGCAGTAGACTTGAGAACAACTCGTCATCGGCGGATGTCAGAACGTCAGGCCTGTTGTTCAGGTTTAGGTGGAGCGCCAGCTCGCACAGGCGAATCCTCGGTCCAAACTGGTGGCTCTCAAGCCTCAGGCCTCAGGTATTGAATCTAGCTAGGTCGGAGTGAGAGCCAACGTGCGGCGAAGGCTCGATGGCTTGTTCACGGACTTCCATCGTCAATATCTCGGCCCCCTGCCGGGACAACTAATGATTATGAAGCAGACAACCTGCGCATCATCTTGGCGCGCCAGCCTTCTCCACGTCAGTTGAAGGCTGAAACTTGCTCGAAAGATCATCAAGCGCATACCTGCAGTCTCATATCGTTTCTAAGTCATTATCCGTTGGCCCGGCAACGTGTGTCACGAAGGCTTGACTTGACTTAGTTTAGCATCATCTGACCAATCTTGCCTGGCAGTCTCGACTTGTTCGCCCAATTCTTTCATTACCACCTCCCACAAGTCAAAGTATAAGCGCAAGAGCAAATAGCTTCTTCGGAACCCCGGAACCTCCATAGCATTTTGGTGCATTCTGACCGTATCCATCATGTGCACCTTTTTCGTCAACCTGATCTCGATCGAGCCCGGCATGCCATGGTCCAATGGTGCGCCCAGTCACAGTCACAGCTGTAATCGGAGCGCACAACGAAACCGAAATCCTTCAACATGACAAGTGGCATGTCTCGCAAGGTCTGAATATCCTGCAGGACCTCTGAGTCTGCTGAAATGGCGGTTGGTTCCCCTTTCCTCGTGATGTCAAACAAGTCGCCGATCGCATGCACAAGTGCAGCACCAACTGACCGGACCCCAATCTGAGGGTCACTGGATGTCACGCGCATCGTTCAGTCAGGGCACTCCACGGTGGAGACATCTGTAGAAGAGTGAAAAGGTCCGCAAACCAAGCAGGAGCTCATGGCTGTACACAGATGACAGCTACAGCAATAACAGCAACGCAAACCAGGAGAACAAATAGCAACTGTTGCACGGAGCCCACGGCCAAACGCAACCCTGAAAGTCTGCTGAGTTGCATGTTGTGGCTCCACTGGCTCACGAACCCTTTGCCGGGGGTTGTTGCTGCGTGCCCGAGTCTGCGGTAGTTTGTAAACACGACAGAGTCATCGTTCACATCAAAACCCCAGATGGCACGACATTTGCAATCAATTGCACTGACTATCATCGCGTGCTACAGCCGGTTTTGATGCGAGCTGCATGCTGGCTTTACTGTCACTCCCGCTGAACTGGCGAACTGAGGCGGAAATTTCAACGGAGTTCCACACACGATGTCCATCTCCCAAGCATGATTTGGAAGCGTGCGGGCGCATCATCCCCCAGCATCACGACACTGAGGTGTCTACGACCCTGACCATCCAACAATCGGATGAAGTGGGTGCCGGACTCCTCAGACTCTTCCAGCTGGATGGTGGCAATCGCATCGGCATCCAGTTTTAACTGAAACGTGCCATCCTGCGAGCGTAGAGAGAGAATCGCCCGGCCCTTGGGAGACTGGCCTATAGAAACGATGGCACGGCCCCCGCGCATGTCTGAGTTTGTCTCCATGATTGCCAGGCCGTTCAAAAGGTAGCGGCAAGGCGTCAGCTGCGCCATTTCGTAAAGAAACTCTCCAAGGTGCTCAACTCCACCACCAGGTGTTCTACGCTCCTCCGGCGAAAGCCTGCCCCATGACCGGTCGGAGGCAGCCTTCATGGCCAGCCCGGCACTGGTGCCAGCACCGAATCGGGCTCCTGCGAAGGTTCCTTTCATTGAAAGAACCAGCACGGCACCGAGAAGGCAGACGTATGCAAACTGGCATCTTCTGCCCATGACGAAGGCTGCAGCAAATCACCACCCCGCCCTGCTGGGACTCTGTGGCAGGCTACACGTCTAGGAGATCGTCTACACAGCGGGGATTGCTGTATGGTTCTTGCGTCCTGCATGTCTGGTTGTTTTCTCGCACCTACCGGTGGAGCCGATTTTGCAAGTTTGATCCAGACAATGTGGCTGAGGTGTCCTCTGTGAACTGACATGCCAGCACTTTCTTCGAGCCGCGAACACGGCCCGTCGAATTACTACAGCCATTGGCAATGGAGAACAGTCCGCCCTTTGCTTCCGAGGCGACTTGCTGTGACTCAGATGTGATCCTGATGAGCCATCTGTGTTGCCTCCATACTCTTAGGCTGCGAGATGCTGTGAGGCTTTTCAACCGCACTTCCGCAGAGGTCAAGCGAGCACCTGCCAGGGCAGCTCCGAAATCCTGCAGAGTGCGCCGTCGAGGCGAAGGGACAAAAAAATACACATTTTCCCTGCTACTACTCGATTTGGACCGCATCAGACTGACTGCTCGCTTCTCGTTCGACCCCAAGCTCGATGCAGCATGATGCCGCATTTCTGACAAGCTCGAAACCCCACCCAAGATCATGAACCATCAGGAACCCTTCCTCTAGCTCTGGCACGCAGTCTTTTCTTGGATCGCTACAGCCTGGAACAGAAGCTCTCTTGTCCCCAGCACACGCTCCAGGCCTCTGAATCCATTGATTCTGTCGACTGCTTTTGCGGTGCCTGGAAACCTCAACTTCCAATCGACCAACTTTCCTCCTCCAAATTCTTCCCCTGCATGAGGATATCCACAGCTGCCCATTCAATTCAATCCCACTCACCCGCTGAAGCGGACGAGTTGAAGTGTCCTGCCTGGTACAAAACACGCAACTAGGCACCAGCACTAAACCAAAAGCACCACATGCACTGTCGTGGCACTGCATGTTCAGGTGCCGTTTTCAGGGTCAGACTCGGCGCTTACTACTGACGGTGTAAATCTTGCAGCTGTAGCCATGGCTGCAACGGTCAGTTGAGGTCGAGCAAGATCAGCAAGAACAAATGTACACCCCTCCTTGGACACAAAAACCTCGGGCTTGAAAGGTTTGCCCAAGCCTAATTTGGGAACGTCAATAATCGGGGCAAACGAAGACGGTATAGCTGAAGTTCGGAAAGGACTTCTATACTTTCAACTCCCAAACCTACGATTTCTACATGTTCCCCCGCCCCCGCCCTCCCCCTGCACCCGTTCTTCGCATTTTTCGCAGCTGTCTTCCTCCGCTTTGCTGCTCAAACGGCCTGAGACCAAAGGCACAGCCGCCACTTGTGCTGCAAATCTCTCCAAGGTCCAGGCGGTCACAGCTGCTCTTCTCTTTCGAGTTCGGGGTCTCTGGCGGGCGAGCACCTACAAGGCTGTCCCGTCGCTGCCGTTGCTGAAAGCTGCACCTCTTTGCGCCTCTTCAACCTCAAGAACACGGATTCGATGGACGCCCCATCGAACTAGCCGTGGTAGACTAAGCCTTGGAGAGCGGGCGGCCGACACAAGTGAGGACTCGTCAAGAAGTCTCAGCTATGCACCAGTCCAACTTCTCCGGCTTCTCAGGTGGCGCTTGTCTGGCTTGGAAATCCCCCTGATGGCACTCCAAAAGCAAGGGCTGCACATTGAGCGAGTCCCACAGTCTCATTCTCTACTGGAAGCCTTGAGCAAACATTCCGTCTGCTGAAGCTCCAGCGATGCACTAGCTGCCATTTGAGCATCCTCTGTGTCCTCAACTTTCTGCAGGACTTTCCTCACGTTGGCACAAGCGCACATAAACATACCTTGTTCTCTTGACTGTATGGGTCCGATGATGCAACTTGGGAAGCTTCATTGTCTGAACCTTCATTCCTCGTGATGCCATGTACCTTTGTCATTGCTCTTGAATCTCCTGTGGTGGATCGTGCTTCAGGCATTCTTGCTGTGGTGAGTTTGCTTTCCTACAATAAAATCCTTCGCAAGTCACAGTCAGCTGAACCCGGGAAAGCACCTTGTGCCTGAAACGTGGTAAAGCTTGACTCTTTCTCCTTTCTCGTTCTGCGTCGCATCTCTCCAGAATCTGTGTGGATAAGTCTCACGCAATGCAGCAGAGCTGCTCGAACTCAGAAATACTCGTGGGTTGCTCTGACGCGCTGCCTCGCCAGGCATTCGTGCATGCACACAGACACAGACATCGAAACACACGCACACATACACACACTCGCAGGTAGAATCTAGAAGTTGAACAGGTTTGTCATGTCACGATGTCACACGATCATGGCTCGTCACTCCAGCTGACATGACATACCGGACCTGGAGCCATCCCACGGCATGCAGTTTTGGCAACATGGCCGTTGCTGCGCGGTTCTGCATCAGAAGCCCGAGGGCCTTCCTGGAGTGTTTCCGGCAAAACATGGAGATTCGAGCAGAGCTGAGACTCTGCAGACAAATTTCGCGATCCGGTTCAGGATCTTGCCCATCTTGCAGCATTGCACGCACCTGAAACGGCGGCTGGCACCCAGTGCACAGAACGGATGCCTCGAATCCCAAGCCCCTAAGCAGGCCAAAATCTTAATAGCGTCCCATGCTTGGTTGGGTCCTCCGCAGCAGACCAGGCAATGCTCTTCGCTGCCAGCACCGGCAAGCCAACTTCTTCTGGCTTTGCAGGAGCCGGGGTCGCACCTGACAATAAACCAGGCTGAAATGATCAATGGGCTTCGTGATAATTTGCCAGCTGCCGCTTTGATTTTGCCTTGTTGAGTCCAAATTGCCTGCGGTTCATTTCGGGCTTACCTTTAAGCTTCAATCTTCGCTGGAAATGCGCAGCTAACGAATCCTGCACGACGAAAGCTTGCATGCAGAAGGGGTCTTGCTCAGGTCTGCGCTGGCTGAACCTCCCGCCCACGCCATGCAATTCACCCTAGCGGTAAAACGTCGCGAAAGCACCGCTCTCGGCAAAAACTACAAGACGATGAGACAAAGCTGTGAGGAAATGAACAAACCCAGGCCAAGACCGGCCAATTACAATCAATCCACGAACGAGGCTTGGCGGGTATGCTTTTGTGGTTCTCGGAAGTCCGTGCACACTTCGAGAACTCACCAGAATGAACGACACTCGTGCAGCTGCCACTGACAAGGCGTGCTGTGCCGTTGCGCATGCCCGTCGTTGCCGTGTAGCTGCATAGTGCATGATGCGAGACTGCATGTCACCGACGTGGTACCACTCCACTCGGATTATTACCTGTCACAAGAAGGACCCCACCACCCTGGCATGTTTCACGCTTACCACGAACCAGTTGCCAAGATGGTCAGCAAAGCACATATTAAATATGAGTCATTGCATTGATCTCGTTCAGAAAGGCTGAGATGACAGCAACACGGACATGCTGCAAGACCCACTGCCACCTGCTTTTGCCACACGTTGGAAGGCATTGACGTCTGACAGACACTGACAGGCTTTTATCAAATCTGAAAAGTGGTCATTGCACTTAAGAAACCGTGGATGTATGCAGCCTGTGTGTAGGTGCTCCAGTTCTTCCGTCGTAAATCGACCCTGGTCCACGACCATGTCGTCAAGCTCTCGCTTCCTCATTTCTCAGCTTGAGCAGGAGCCTCAACCGTGTGGTCACGCATCTTGGCCAAGGTGCTGCAGCTGCCTCCGCCAAATGTTTTCCTGGTGGTCCAAGGCGACATGCGGTATCAATCAGTCTTTCGGAATTGAGAAAGCTAATTGCGTGGTAGCACAGATCGCTCCAGAGAGCTCCTCGATTGTGTGCTCACTGACCAGCCGATAGATGTGCACCTCGCGAGTCTGGCCAATTCGATGTGCTCGATCCGTGGCCTTTGCTGCGCTGGATACATTCTGTGAGCTTGTGATTGTTTTCCGTGCTCTGAGCTCTGCAGGGACGCCCGAATGGGCTCATTTTCGGGCCTGTCTGTCCATCGCCGGGTTCCAGTCGGAGTCATAGAAGATGACCTTGCAAAGCATAAGGTCGGGTCCTTCAGCCTCCAGCACTTTCTGCAGATCAAAGTGGCAGTGTTGGCACTCATCAAATTGATGCCCACACCGCCGGCCTGATACCGGATTAACCACAACAACTGAAACAAATAAAGAGCAAATGTGTGACCCATATGACCCTCTGACACAGCCAGCTTCCCTTGCATGTCGCTGAGGAGGCCCCCATGCCACTTGCACTCGAGCAGCACGTGTCGAGCATATGAAGAGGAAAATGCGTTCCTCAGCACACAAGGTGTCCTAAACCCTTGCCACACCAGGCTCAAATTCACTTCCCAGGATCGTCGTCATTGAATCGATCGACCAAGTCCTGCCGCCTGTCCACCTGGCTTTCACGGACGAGATATCATCAAGTCCGAAGTCTCTGCCCACCTTTACTGCTGAATCCATACGGACGTAGGTGAAGCTATGGTGGCACACCTTAGCAGCTTCAGCATTGAAACCGTTGATGGCGACATCGGAAAATCTGCACCGCCAGCACTTAAAACGGTGATACAGAATGCATCTCCAAGCCATGGCACAAAGGTCTCGAGGACATCCAGCATCTTGCTGAACTGGGTGAAAATGATGCCTGTACTTTGAACGAGACTGTTGTTATCACTGATGGGCCTCGGGTTCCCAAGCACGAGGCACTTACGGCAGCCGGCTATATTCAATCCAGCCGCACTTGTCATTCCGGGCTTTGAACTCTTTGAGCATGATCGCCTCTTTTACGCGAGCGGCCGTGCCGAGGGGACGAACAGCAAGGCAGCCTCTCTCTGAGCCAAGCACCAGTTTTCTCAGCTTGCCACAGTCGGATTCCAAATGATGCCTCAAACGAGCTTATATAATGCGGGGCATCAGCTCAGGAATGCAAGCTGAGCAGCAGCCTTTGTGCAATGCCTGCAGGCCAGGGTGCTTCTCAGGCAAATGGCAGCGCAAGCGTCCATCGAGGACCTCTGCCACTGTCACGAACATCCCACTTGAGCGCCTCCCTGATCTATCTATTGATTTATAAGCATAACTCTTTCGATTTCTGTAAATACAGTATACAGACATATATATATATATATATACATACATATAGTTGCACAAGTATGTATAGATATGGTTGTACGTATGTATGTCTGTCTGTCTGTCTGCCTGTCTGTCTGTCTTCCCCTGTATCGCCATCAACGGCGGCGTCTACACAACATCCGATGACTTCCGCCCGGTGGTGAAAACCTCACTCCGGTATATGAGGCTAGCGAACACTAGGAACCCAGGCCAATCGAAGTCTTTTTCACCCAGCGCACTCACTCTCCTTGACCCAGCACACCTTGCAGAAAACTGCGTTGTTCCAGCAGCTTGGCAGCTTCGCACCGTCCACACCGAAGATCCCCTCGTGGGAGCCGGTGGGAACGAGGTCGTCGATCTGCTCAGGTCAAGACGGCGATTTTGCCCTCGGAGGTATGGCTCTGCCAAGACCACACCTTGAATTCTCTGATGCCGAACTATTACATCAACATCCCGCAATGCCAGTCTAGCAGAGTCGAGCTTTTTGGTGTCCAAGGTGCATGCGGCCGCCGACCGTCTTGGACTTCACCCGGGAAGGCCCGCAGCTCGAGGCCAGAAGTGCTGCGAAGGCGCTGGAGACCTCAGGAGGCACTCAACCGCCATCTAAGCCTCATAGCACCGATGCAGGACCAAGTCAAAGCCTACGTTGCTGCATGAACCAAAATTTCGAGCCACCTGAGGCCGCTTGGCCCCTGGGATCCCAAACAGTGGAGCTCAGAACCAGCTGCTGAGACTGCCTGATTTGGAGTGACCGCGATTCCTGCAAATGCACTGAACAGCAGGTGTAGCGGCCATCAACGACCGTTGGATATCCAGTGCTTTGAAGATGCGTTCGAATTTGGTGATTCCGTCCCGTGTGTATCCGGACACAAACCACGCTGAGCATCTCCTCTGACATACCATGACCATGTGCCAGAAAGCGGAACCACGTCAAAGCTGCCCTTCCGTCACAAGAGCCACTGGACCTTGACCGAGTCGGTCTCTGCTGAGCTAGACTTCTCCGTGACACCATGTCGATGGGCCAACAACATTCCGTCAAAGATGCAGGCGCAATGCCGTGACAGAGTACAAGATACTCCCGAAACATGGAGAATGTGTTGATCTGCATGCGCAGAGAATATAATCCTTGGAACGTCGTTCCAGCCAATATTAGACCCGAGCTCGGCACATCAAGGCGATGAATAAAGCCGTACTGGAAATCCGAGAGGAATGGCAGGGAGTGTGAGGGATATTCTGCTCTGAGAAAATCAGACAACAGGCCCTGCTTGCTCGGCTCGCTCTGCGGCCCATCTACTTCCCAACCTGGCGGTTTGAACACGACCGCCATGCCACGAGTGCTGAAAACTATCCTGGGTGAGCCGCCGCTTCTGCCCTCACCTTGAGCAGCGGGATATGCGCTCTGCCGCACGTTGGGAATGCCGTCAGCACAACTGTCCACCTGCAATCCAATCTTCGACAGCTTCCATGCCAATTCCCCGCAAAGCCCAGGTGACAAGATGCTTGTAAAGGCGAAAACCCACCTCATGCCGGGTAGGAGAACGAACAACAACCGAAGCACTTAGGTGCAGGTAGCACGTCAACAAAAAACTTGACTTGTGCTGCTGTCCGAGACGCGACACTGAGACGATTGCAAAAGCTGTGTCTTGCAGTCGCGCTGTGGTCAAGAAGCCTTACATTCAATAAGGGGCGATGTCCGACAGGGCACACGACGGAATTAGCAAACACACACCAGCACAGGCAGCAGTAAGGGGACAAGAGCGCGGATAGTCTGGGCCTCGCTAATGACTGCGCCAGCCTATCCTCTACAGCTTAACTATCACATATGGTAGTAAGAGTGGCATCGAGTGACTGATGCTCACGCAGCTCACTCCCCGAGGCCCTGTGCAAAAAAAATTGACTGGCTTTACGAGGTCAAAGGGCCATCCTGCAAGATGCTGTCCACTTTCAACAGGAACTCCGCCGCAAAATCATGGAGTAGAGGCGCGTCCAGGCACCTCGGCTCCCGTGACCCTCTTTCAGAGCATGCACCAATGCACCGCGGCACTGCACCGGAGTTCTTGGCTGCAGTGAAGCGGCTCCAAGCACGCGAGGGCCCAGGCGGTGTTTGTTAGATCCTGCAAGTCGAGCTCATGCAGGCCCTCGCCCTCGTCCAGTTGATGAACCATGACCACCAAAGGCGATCTGACCAAGAGCACTGCGAAGGCCCAGCAGAAGTTGGAGCGGTTCTGCGGGCTGGACTCTGACAATCGCTCCACAAAATGCAAGGCACTTGAGGACATGAGCGGCTCGTCCAGCACAAGGAGCTTTGCAAACGCCCAAACCAGGTTGGAGACGGCCTGTGAGTCAAAGGATGACAGGGTGTCGACAGTCAGGCTCCCTAAGGCCTCCAGCAAGGGCCCATGGAAGAGCTCCAAGATTGCATAAGCCCAGGCGATGTTTGAGCACTGCTGGAAACCCATCCCCTGTCTCTGCACGCATCCTATAGCCTGCGTGGCCATCATGTCAAAGAGCGACATGTCCAGGTAGCTTAGTTTTGCACATGCCCAACACACACTGGCCAACGTTAGTGGTGACGCTTCATTTGTCTCGTTCAGCTGCGTTGCCAGGCAGCGAACCAACCCCTGCAGCTCAGGGCAATCTAGAACTTGAAGGCGATCTGATGATTTTGCTACACGGTGGAGAGCTGTTGACAGATTCACCAAGTGAAGCTGGGGCAGGCGGGTGCTGCAGAATTGCAGCACGGCCTTTGCACTGGTCTGTGCCACAATGCCGAGACTCAGCTGTAAGTCCCACCATGAGGACGACTTCCAACCCTTCTGATGGCGCCAATCTTTTGTGGAGGTACCTCTGATCAAAGCATATGTTCGTATGTGTGTATTGACTAGTCGTCACCATTTTGCAGATCGAACCCCTGTGCCACACCTGCAGGCAAGTGTCGACTTCGCACATGTTGCTGCGGCCCAACAAAACCAGAATCTGAACTGCACATAGCGTAGATTGGCAGGACAAGGCGTCGACAGTTCGCAGATCATGTCGGAAGATGCAAACCGACGCCCGAGAATAACTGCACCAGAAGTGCTGGGGAAACATCCGGTAGATGCTTACCGGGTCGGCAAGGAGCCGAACAGGGCTTCACCATCACAGCCCTGAGACGCGCAGCTACACCACAGAAGCCAAGAGCTGCAAGCAATCATCAGGCTGAGTAAACCTGAAACCGCGATTGGAAAGTGAGTTGACCCCCACTATCTGGGAGGGACTATCCTACTTGTTGACAAGATGTATGAGTCCCTTCGTTCTTGCCACTGGCAGAGTGTGAATGAGCTATGTGACTATGTATTGTGTTTTCTTCAATTTTTTTTGGGGGGCGGGAAGGAGGAGTTCTCCATGCAAGAGGAGCTTCTCGTTTCGAATCGCATATCGAATCGCATATTCGCACAAAGCAGGCATGGATTCCAGCAAGAAGTCCTTCAGCGACAGAACAAGAGACTAGATGGCCTCAACAACGTAAAACCAACAACCAGCGTAAGCCAGATAAACACGTAAGAAACTAACACCATGAACCCACCTGCAACAGCAACATACCCACCTCGTCAAGCGCGCACCGGTAACTGTAGAAGAGCAACCGTTCTTGTATCCATACTGTACTGGTAGACATGTACATTTGTGATGCCCTTACACTGACATGCTCTCACCAAGACCTGTTGACATGCTGCTGGACAGTATCAGGCACCAGGGAGAGTTAATGTTGACACTCGTGATTGGCTTCTCGTGCTGCTCACCAGTGGTGCAGCTGACAAGGGTTCCAGTTCTGACAAAGCGCGAATTCACCAGGACACAACGACATGATAGAATCCAAACGATAAGCAGATGTCCATCTGCTGCTGAAAGGGCGCATGCCCAATACACACACGATGTACATGCATACAGACATGTACATGCACATGTGTTGCAGAAGGGTGTGCATTTGCTTTTCTAGCCCGAGGGCCTTCTCCAGGCCCGCCACAAAGATAGAGGAGATGTCGGGCTACAGCCGGGTACGGGGGTTTGCTCTCAAGTTTTTGGGCCCTCAGAGGACCCCTGCCGACAAGCAAGTCGTATAAAGATGCAGAACGATGAGATTCTGTTGGTCTTAAATGTGACATCGTGGAATTTCCTTCGACCTCTCGGCCGCCCACGTCAAGTGCCGAGTCTCCCATTCCTCCTGCAGCACTCGTGAGTAAGCGGTGGGATTCCAAAAGGAACTGTCCCACGCGACATGGTCTGACTAGGCCGGATCCTGTCAGCTCCATCGGTGACGGCAGCAAGCAGCATTGCACAGCGAGCCTGGACGAAGCATGGCTTGGCAGGACATGAACTCGAACCTGTCGCTCTCACTCCCAACGGGACCTGTCTTTGGTGTTCGCAGCCTTTGGTTCGCCGAAAGCAGAACCACTTGACGAAACCTGCGTGCTCAGATTTCTTAGACTTCACGCACTCGAAGGCCAAGGCAAGAGGAGGCTGGTCCTGAACGCGAGGCACTCGAAATGCCCACATGCCCAGTCGTGTTGCAACGTTGCTCTCGAGATCGCCTCAGCATTTCAGCATGGATGTGACAAAGGGTGCCCCTGCCACGCTTGATCACTCATGCTGCTTGGTGCTGAGATCGCGCCAAACCAACGGTACCATGTTCACACCGGCACGCTTCATCGTGCAACCAAAGTGTCGAAGGATGCTGCAAGACATCGCAGCAAGCGCCCCATCGAGCTGAGACAGGCAGGGCCGTTGCGAGACGATTCTGGGAGACTGTCAACTCTCTGCTGTACTTGTCGCTTCATTTAGCATTGAAAGTTTCCTCTCACTTTGATGAAAGGACTCGGAACTTTGCATACGCGCCTCCCAGCTCCAACACCTGAGTTGGTAATGGTGCTTCCGCAAGCAGCATCGGGTCACTTCCGCTCTCTCGCCTCCTTTTCCTCCGACGCTCCTCTGGCAGGACAAGCTGTCGCCTTGGCTGAGCTGCTTACCCGACAGGACATGGCGAAACAGAATGCTCGTGCTGGCTCAGACAGACACAAAGCCAAAGCCTGCAGAGCGCATGCATCCACAGACATTTCTGAGAGTCGCGCGAAGCTGGTGAGAGTTGTATGGAGGAGGACCTAACAGTTGTCCAGGAACTTCTGATGCTTACGGATGTGTGGAAGCACAGATGCAGTAAGTATCATTTGACGAACTAGATGTAGAGAAATACCACCAAACAGATGATGAACAAACTTAAACACGGATATCAACACGAGCAATGAATTTGAAGCATGGGAGTTGCACTATTTTGGGGCCCAGTGTCCGTTGCAACTCTGGCCACATGAACGGCCGCGGTGGCAGGCCTAAGTGGTGCCGAGACTGAGACGAACGACCGAAGTCGGCAGTCTCTGTCTCAATGCTTCAAAGACTCGCTTGGTCAGGCTGAAGGCCGTCCCAGATCTGCAAGGAAGTGAGAGCCTCAGGGGCGCGCTCTGGGATGTGTCCCGAGAACAGCGGGCGGGCGATTGAATCATGGCCGGCTGACAGCTCCATACCATCTGCACCGATCCAAGGACGCCCTTCGGAAACCTGAAGTGACACAGCTCGGCATCCATGCATCCGTTGCTCAAGCGCCAGCACGCAAGCCGATCAAGGCAGGGCTGGGCGGGCTGGGCAGGGTGGTGGGTGGGGTGTGGGTTGGTGGGCAGAGCGGCGGCGGTATGAGGTTTGGTGGGCGGTGTGGGTTTTGGTTTTGGTGGGCGGTATGAGTTTTGAAGAGGTTGGGCACGCATTGGAATTGAATGAGTTGAATTAAATGCCGTAGCCACCGTGAAAACCACACGAAAACCCGCGCTAGCACGCAAGCCGCGGAAGGCAGGGCTGGGCGGGCTGGGCAGGGTGGGGTGTGGGTTTGGTGGACGGTGTGGGTTTTGGTGGGCGGTATGCATTGGGATCGAATCCGGGATGGGCGGGGCAGGCGATGCAGGTTTTTGTTGGGCGTTGTGGGGTTTTGGTGGGCAGTGAGTTTTGGAGGGGTTGGGCACGCATTGGAGTTGAATTAAGTGCTTTAACATTGCTTTAACTGTTTCCAACTACCATGAAAACCACGTGAAAACCCGTGCTAGCACGCAAGCCACGGAAGGCAGGGCTGGGCGGAGTGGGCAGGGTGGCGGGCGGTGCTGGTTTTGGTGACTGAATCTATGGACTGAGGCCTAGACCAGCTGCATCAACAGATCGACAGCAGAGACAGCACTGCAGCGTTCGCGTTTCCGCTCTTCGTCCACGCGGCACATCTGCAAGTGCCACCTGGAGTGAGGGCACAGATATACACGGACTCGAAGCAGATTGCCTGAGTCAACAAGCTAACTGCACAGAGACGGAACCGTTGGGCTTTACGCGACATGCTTCAATCACTTGTGCCACATTAGTTTGGGCAAATGTCTCCCGAAGCATCCGTTCGAATCCCAATATTGCTGTGTTGGCCTGCAGATAAACAATGGGCTTGGCTGGCTGTCTTTGACGGTGTGGAAGTCGAAAAAGCGACACTCACGAGCAGAAGCGTCAAGCTGAGACTAAGGCAGAACGTGCAGTTGCGAACTATCCCCCGAAAGAGTGCCGTGCGAGTGGACGATAACATAGGATCAACCCAACACAAACAAGATTCCGTGGTAAGGACACACTACGGACTAGCCGGCTGACCCAGTGCTCCCTGTCTGTCTACGTCCATCTAGACGTCGCCTTTACTGGCAATATGCGTAGCCATCCTGTGGGCCACGTTCGCAGAGCTGCAGCTGCGTATAGTTGCGTTCGTGAAGGAGTGATTAAATTCCTGGCCTTGTTCGCGATGTGTGTAGAGCGTCTGGCGACTGCTCAACACGAACTCTTTTTTTTGCCAGGTTGTGCTGACAATTCCTTGCGCATACGTAGCTCCTATCCTTGAATGACCTTACAGTGCACTACATGTCTCAACATGTGTTGGTGCGAAGATTGTAGATTCGCATGTCGCTTTGCTCTGTGCGCAAGTTCGCATTTCCCACATATTCACTTCGTAAACAGACCCCGACTAGCTGCTTCATACGAGTTCACCGGCGCACTCTGCTCGAAGGTCGCTTTCCCACAAGTCACCCGCGCACATCTCCACAGTAGCTTATCATGCAGTAATCAAAAACTCCGTGAAACTCGCATGAGGGGCGGATACCCCGTCTGGTGCTTAACTCCCAGACCGTGCCCAAGACCTTCTGTCATCGTCACCGCTTGTTGAGACAGTGATCCTCTGTGGATCCTGCGATTTCGACGGTCAATGTACTATGCTCCATCGCTTTGTCCTCCGCACGCGCTGAGCTCGAATGGCCTGCACTTCACAACCAATCCTCGTAGCAGTTTTACACAATTGCGGACCTGGTGAGTGGTTTGTCAACATTGATGAATCTGGCTGGTTGAACACGACATGCAGCAACGAGCACTGGCAACTCCTTCGCTTGACTCAAGAGTACCGCTTGAAGCAAACTGGGTTTCAGCCAGTTGGGTCTGTCGGGTGGCAGGTGATATCATGCCGTTGCAATGCAAATCTCGGCATGCGGCTCATCTAGAAACTCCCGGCTGCCCGGTGAGACTTGGCACCTGGCACTCAGATGCTGCCACATGCTGACACATAAGGGGGTTCGGTGTCGGGGCATGGCAGGCCTCAACTCGGCTGCTGCTTCCGACACGCGCCTTACCAAAGAAAGCAAACAGATGCTCGCAAATGGTGGCTAGGGGACTGCCTCCTCTTCGGAGCTTGGTCCAGGCTCATTTCCACCACCTGCGACTCAGGCGCTCATGGCAAGTCTCCCATACGCATAGTCAAAGCCTTGCAGGCCTCCGAGATTGGCAGAGCTTTGTGACTCTGGGTTTTCAACATCAGCTCGAACTTCCACAAAGAAATCCTCAAAGACTGTAACGTCTTCGAGTTTATCGTGGACAAGCTGTTACACACTTCCATTTGCTTCAAAGCGTCAGTGGCAGAAGCAGTGCGCAGAAGTTCTCCTCTCACAAACGCAACAGTGTTTTTGCTTACTCCTTCGCCCTGCAAGCGATCTTGGAAAGCTCCTCACCGCAAGACCTCCCAGCCACATTCAGCCACAAGTCCAGTGACACCAGTGGCGGAAGATTGACGGCCAAAGGATTCATGACGAAGGAAGTATCCTCGAGAGGTCTCTTTAAATTTCTCTACCCTCTACCCACAGGCAATCACATGCAGAACCTGCTTGCTGCAAAGTCACTGCACCCCGAGGTTCCAGGAGCTCTGGATGATTACACACTTTTCCTTGTGCGAAGGCACGTCCGGAGATTAAGCAACAAGGTGTGACAAGATGGTCCGAGGCCCAGGTGCCGACATGAATACCGAAGCTTTGTCCACAGGTGTGCATTGCTGTGGTTCTACGATATTCTCTGTCTGCCCACAGGATTGAGCAGGAACACATCCACAGCCTTTGGAGGTTGGCAGGCGTTGGAACTGGTCTTGGCTGTCGCCTTACTTGCTCCTTCCTTTCTGGTGAAAACCACTGAACAAAGGATGACATCTCAAGCCAAACATAGAAGTGCTTCGCATTACTACCAGCAAGCCGTCCTTGTGGCTCCAGGCAGTTTGTGCTCGGCATTAACTAACAGATCCCGGGACAAACTTGCCAACGCATTCCATCGAGCGCCAGGTGTCGGAGCTGCATGAGAATACCTGCAGACAAACAAAAACCTATCAGAATACACACGCGTACATTATGTTGCAGCTCAAGGTGCTCATCATTCTCAGGTAGTCGCCTTTCTTGAGGATCTGTTGCGTCTGGCGCCTGCACCCATGCAAGCCTTTGCAACGGTGCAACTCATCCTTCCAAACCAGGCCTTCTCATAAATTCCTCGTAGAGGACCTGCTGGCGCCGGGATAGAGGGCAGGATACCTCAGCCGCAGACCGAGGATGCTTCCGGCTCCCGGTTCCACAAATCCTTCTACAAATCATGCCAAGAGAAGGCACAACGTGTTCGTGCTTCTTTGGCAACTGACGCTCCACCTCGCTCTTCAACCTGCGAAAAGGTCGGCCGGAAGCACCCGGCTGCAGGCAAGCCAAGCATCCCTGCCTTCGCAACAGAAAGGGTCGGATGACCTTGTGTAGTCGCGCCACAAGCTCCTAACGACAAGAAAGAAAAGGCCGTGTGACTGTCCGCGGCAGTGATAAACTACTCGGAGCTCCTGCTCCTGTTTCACACGGTGTTCGTGCAAGGCCAGGTGCAGAGGGTCTGCGAAAAATTCCTGCAACTACCAGGCAAAGCCACATGTTACCTACCACCATCAGTTTTCCAAATCTGGCTAGATATGTCGACCCAAAACCTGCCTTGAAGTCTGTGTAAGACTGAAACATGTCCTGAGCTGCCCGTAGCCCGCAAGGAGTGGGCTGCTTTTGATGCAAATGGTATAATCGCAATGAAACCGGGCAAGGAGCCGGCATAAGAAAATGCAGCAGGGACCACAGCTCCGTCAGATTGTTCTGTAAAGGTGTCCCTGTCAGCAGCAAACGGCGCTCGGATTTAAAGCCTTAGTGCGTCGGAGGAATAGATCGTGTTCGTCAATGCGCCACGCTGCAGCCTTTGCTCTCGAAACCTCCGCAGGGTGGCGTCGAATGCCGCTAAGATGCGCATCAGCTGCTGCCATTTCTGGGAACGATAGTTCCTTGCGTCGAACTATCGGCCTCTTTCACTTGATAGCCCACAACTAGTATCGACCAACTACAAGTACTAAGGCCAGTTTGCAAACATGAAACGCAAAAGCAGGTACTGCGTCGCACTGACAATTGCTCATTACTTCCGTGGTCAACTTCTTAGCATTGGAACAGCATTTGGAGTAGTTTTGCCATAAAAATGCTCTCAACAGACTTTGTAAGTTTGAAGTCGCATCGCCATGGGGCAATACATCACGCAGCTACATGTCGATGCCATGTCGGAGACAAACCCACCCATGAGTCGAACAAATATTGGTGCGCACACGGCACCAACAGCAGTTGCTGATAAAACCGTGCGTCTTGATGTTTTGAGCTTCATCCAATATCAGGTAATACCACCGCTTCATTTTCCTTGGATCTTAACACGGAGCAATGAAGATTGCTGTGCAAACGACCTGTCGAGCGGCAAAGGCCGAAGATCCTGCAGCACCACAGTATACCTCTCTGAACTCGACATGCGGGGATTGATTTCGAGACTGGTCTATAACAGCCTGCTAACTTATGCTAACTTGAAGGAGCCAAGCCACGAAGCCACACAAACATGAAAAGCATCTTCACCGCCCCATCCGCGTCGCTTGTCGCGGCGTTCCTGCAGTGCTGGCCGATCGCAAGTCAAGGATGCATCCAGGCATTATGGCGTCCTGCGCATTGCCATAGTAGGCGCACACTTTCAGGCCTGCGACAGTCTACAGTACGAGTCCCTTCTCAAGACCCTCCCTTGCTCTCGCGCTCTGCCGATGCCTGGAGCCCACTTTTGCAGCTCCTTTACCCAGTTCATGAGCAGCGAGGTGGGAACCACGACCAGGTGAGGACCCCAGACCTCTTTCCTCGCAAGAATGCCGGCATCAAACTGAACTTTCAACAGAAGGAGCAAGCACATACTGCCGAGGTTCTGAACAGCAAGGTGGGCCAGCAGCGCAATGGTCATAATGGTTTTGCCAAGCCCCATCCTTCGTTGGAGCATCGAGTGGCTAGTGACAAGTGGAGCATATTCGCAGCAAGAACCACCCGGGCCGCGAATGGTTGCGCACTGCTGTCAGGGTGCTCGTCAGCCAGTATGCCATTAAACTGTTTGTCGTGCAGAGTGGCGAGCCAGTGCAGGCCTTGACATCAGCATTGAAGCCTATCGAGCCTCTGGTGCCAAATTCTCCTCCGGGATGCCCGCCTATGTGCTGATACCTCAATGCGACAGAAGAGCGCACTAAGCCAAGAATTCAGCACGGGGAGTGAAAGGCGAAGTGTTGCAGCTTCAGATAAAGCACTCGCGAATTGGATGTCGCAGCAGAAGGACCGGCACTTCGGTCGTGATCTGCTTGGACATATTGCGGCGATCGAAGTCCTCGTAATGGAGCCTGACTCGGGACATGAATGGCTCAGAAATCCGATGCCGCATGCTGCCGCTGTGGATAGGCAGACGAATGGCCTTGGGGATCTTTCCAGCTCTTCCAAGCTGTTCTGCGCCTGCCCGAACCAAAGGTAGTCTGTGAGTCGCATCCACTCACCGCCATGCAAGTAAGTGTGTGGAAGCACATGCGCTGGCATCAAAAGACAAGACTTCAGATCCACCCCGAAGCAGCCACTGCAGGATCCAGATTATGAGTAGATTCTGAGGGCCCCCATGCTGCAGATCCTGCAGGCTTCTTGCAAGCTGCTAGTGCAAACAATGTCCAGTTGACAGGAAACGCGCAGAAAGGCGGTCTGAAGAGGTCAATTTCCCACTAAAGCGCTGGTGCTCAAATCTTCCCCAGCTCTGAGAATCTATTGGCCGCTTTGTGCCAAGCTTGTTCAGACAAGCAGTTCCATGTCGCGCAAGGCTCAAAGTTGGGCGTGCTCGCCGAGAAAAGCGCTCACATCCCGAATTACATCCAGGCGTTTGTCCCTGTCAAACGGAAAAGGCGTGTGACCTGCGTGGTCAGGGAGTGTTGCATGCAGGAACCTGTGGATGGAGGGTCTTCTGTTTCGCTTGCGGCCAAGACGTGCCGAGGATCTGACCGCCTTCGTGCTCAAGCACGCGCCGCCCCTCGCAAGGGACATAGCTCTCCACCAGGTATCTCGACTGCGCCAAGTAGGGGTCGGCACGGCCCAAGATGTGCAAAGACGGAACGCCTCCTGTGAGCATGAAAGCAGCGAAAAGTCATGTTGCACCTGCGCAAAACACAAGCTTCACCACTGCACCAGCTCAGGATTGGACTAATTGGAAGCTGCGGAGGGGAGCCCGAGGACCACCAGGAGCGCGGAGTCTTGTCCCAGAACCCCCAGATTCCACCACAGAGGTTCACCGTGCAGCGAAAGCCCAAGTCCGTCTTGGAACAGGCCTGTGCAACTCAGGAGACATGAAGATGGAGCGCAAGCGCTTGGCTTGGCTCCTGCCTGCTTCGCCAGCAAAGCTGCGGCGACATTTGCACCCTGACTGAAACCCACCGTGGCGAAGAAGGGCCCATTAGCAGTCACCTCTGCAACAGTGTCCTTAGAAGAAAGAATCAAAGTCTGAGCTAAAATCAGCTGGAAACTATACATCCCTGTCACCTTGCAGCCTGGCAGATCAATGACAAAGGACAATTCACAGCACGGTCTGGACACTTTGGGCCAGTTTCTTCCCAAACGTGCTCCAACCCGTCCGCGGTGTCGTGGCCCGCCCGCCAGCGCTTTGCTGGGTCCTCTGCGCCTGGACGCACTCAAGAAAACCTTTTGCCTGGACAGCGCACCATGGTGCCGGGAAGTTGCCTGGATCGTTGCGAAGGCTGAAATACTGCCACGCTTGTCGCTGGTGAGGCCGCAATACTACGTTCCATGCACCCGAGGCTTCGGGGGCAACCTGCCAGGAACTAACACACAACAACGACACACTGCTTGCAGTTTGGTTTCGCGTTCGCCGCGCCTCGGCCGGTAGATGCCCTTGTAGGAAACAGAAATCTAGCTGCGGGTTGCTGCGAATCAATCCTGCAAGCTGCCCACGGAAGTAAGCCTTGGGACAGCGGAATGCAGGCACTGGTTCGGTTGCATTGGTTCCTCCCAGTTCGGATTCAGACAAGCTTGGCTGTGCTGTCTTGCTCTCCAGCTGCCCGCCATTTCCGCCCCGTGCAGTCCTTGCTCAGAGCCTTGCTCTTGCTTTCTGATTCCTCCCTAACGCAAATCCGCACTTTGAGAGCACCACCTGCATACCACCTGCTCAAGGAGCTCCGACGTTTATCAGCATCCCCCATCTCCACTCTTCCCTGTTTGTCCGCAAGGGTCTGCCTCTGCACAACCTGCCATCCTCCACTGAGCCGTCTTTGGCTGGATGGGCATTCTGCAAGCAAAACCATCGCAATGCGCTTCTGCAATAGGCACCAATGCAGGCGCAGGGGCACTGTTCAGGCCTCGGCCGTGGAGGCACAGAACTCGAGGCTTCGCCGCCATGGCGGCTAGTGCCCGGACATTTCTGATTCTGCGATCACAACCGCCTGCCCGCACTCTCAAGATCTCCAAATTGAAGCTTTGGTCACCCAGTACGACATGGGCATATCACATCTGGCTGTTCAGGCAATGCTCGTCTGGAAGGATGAAGGATGTGTGAGGTCTTGCTTTTGGACTCTAAAGCTCCGGAAGCCGCTGTCAACGAACCAGTCTTGCATGCCGAATCATGCCGAAGCGGCTCCTGAGGAGATTGAGGTTAGTAGAGGCCTGCGTCGACTCCGTCGCACTGTCGCGCTGAGGCTCTTTCTCCAGGCCTTCTCGAGGAGCCTTCGGCAAAGCTGAAGTACTGGAGCCAAAACAGAGCTGAGAGTTTGAGCCGTCCTGCTCCGCAAAAAGCCCTGTGGTGACCTCGCTGGAGAAGGCCTCACTTCGAGACAGCAGCGCCTGCGCCGTGGGGCTCAGCAACTTCTCAGATTTCTGCTGCGAGCCGTTTCTGCGATGATGTTGTCTCCGGCCTGCATATTCTCGAAGTGCTGCTGGGTCCTAGCTGCATGTCGCTGCTGCACCTGGCCGCCAAGGCAAAGCAAGAACCCGCAGCAGCAATAAGCCATTAGTACAGACAGCAGCGCAGAAAGCTGACAGAATGCTTTTTTCTTCTCTCATCTTATCCAGTCCCTACCGACCGGCTTCTTTGGAGCGAGCGTGTCTCAGGAAGTCTTAAAACGTGCAAGGTCTACGGCGAAGTGCTCGGCTGCTCGACAGCAACCACTCCAGAACTTCGCAATCTCCTGCTGCTTGCCAACTGACTTGTCAGCGAACTGTGCACAAAGCACTCCGTGAAGCCCTCCCTGCGTTTGTCCAAGAGCTCCTTGGCAATCCTTGCAGCGCCTGCGCGAGCGGCTCGCTGCTCCTCCTCCAGCCGCTGCCTTAAGTGGAAAGGTCTACCTTAAGCTGCAGCCTTCATGCTCAGCTTGAGGCATGGAGAACCCACATTGAGCGTCGCTCGCTTCGTTTCGCTGTAGCTGGCGCAACAAAGCCTGAACCTAACAAGATACAAAGAGCGCAGAGCTTGGGCTGTGCCAGAGGATGAGCGCCTGCTTTGCAGCTTTCTTCGCCACGGCTCGACGCTTTGCCTCCACGCGGAGAACTGCCTGCGCAGCCCTGCGGACTTGGGCAGCTTGTGGCAATGCATCCTGGCGGCTTCACACATCAAGAACGGCAATCACGGAGCCTGGCAGATTGCTTGGGGCAAAGGCAGAACCCTGCCAGGCCCCACGACACACGTCAGCCAAAGCAAACGAACAACGGAAGCCTCGGCAACGCCAGCATCCGCAGCTCGATGCTGCATGAGCCGGCGGCCGACACTTCAGGATGCAATTGCCATACCTTTAAAGTGTTCGCTGCCTGAAATCATGAGACCTTCCTGCAACTACCACTGGAGAAAGGTACGACGAAAATGCTGACTAGCTACAAAAACTTTTATCACCCAGCCACAGCACTCTTCGTGTGTTGCGCTCTCACAACTCGGACAAGCCAGGCGAGGTTCCATAGTAGCAGGTCAGCGTGACACAATTTACTAGATTCCTTTGTGAGGGTTTTCTTGAGTGTGGCTGGGCCGAGATGAAGCAAGATGGTGATGTATCAGAGGCCGCTTCCCGTGCACGTGCCTGCTTGTCTGGGCAACAGCAACAGGGAGTTGGTTTTCTACAGGAGGCCAGCTGCAGTCTCTTCCGTTTCGGAAAGGCAAGGTCCGGGCTATTCTCAACAAGCACCCTTGCTGGCCTCGTTGACAAAGCCAGTCGGCAGATGCAGAAGATCATACGTTACAGCAAACACGAACGCGCTTCCGACATCTTGTTGCCGTGCCGTGTGGAGCATACACACATCCCGCCAGAGTCGAAAGTCATCTATTTCATTTGGACCACTGCCTGACAGGCCCGAATCTGCGATTTGATGCATTCGTTTTGGCAGACGAGCATGGGCACGTGTGGTTCCAACCTGGTCGATGGCATAGGGAGGCCCTTGCCAGGGTCGGGAACGAGTGCCTGCATAGCCGTTGAAGATGGACTTGTCCGTCTCCTGAGTGCCACATCAACCACACAACGATGTTCAGTATGAGTCCTCCAAAGACAGCAGCTGCAGTTCTTGAACTTGCGACACGAGATGGGTGCTACAGGGCTCCACTGTGTCGTTAACGAGCCGGCTAGAGGAAATCCCCAAGCACAACCGACACGTACCGTAGGATCTCGAAGCTGAGACCATTCCCAAAACAAGCAAAACATAAGGACATTTTCGTTTCCAAGGCACCATTGATGGCGAGCACAACCTCAAGTGCGCTTGCAAGGAGACGATTTGTCTGGCTGCCACGAAACGGCGGAAAAAACAAATCCCTGGGTGTCAGACCCTCGTCCGATCCCACGAGCTAGCTTCTCGGGTCGTTGCCCAGCACATGTCCTGGGCTGCGCATGCTACGCAGTGCTACCAACCCTTCATCCCGGTTTCAGCTGAGAGTTGGCATGGGGCCAGAACTTCAGAGAAGCTTCTTCTGCTGATCAGAAACACATGGGGAGCCGTAGAGCAAAGCCACCTGGTCCGCGGGGTCCTCGAGACAAAACATCAGAAACTGACGGGTTGCCTTCAGCACCTCACTGTTATCTCGCCTAGCTTGCCCAGAGACCAAGCAAAGCGCGCTGTGCAACCACCCTTTGACCATACTTTCCGATTCCAACACATCGGCACGGTGAGACACATAGCGGTGCCAAGGTTCCTTAAACATCACCAAGACACGTCCGTTTGACGAGCTTGACCACGGACTCGGAGCCGAGTCTCCCAGCTGCGAGTGCCAGCTGCCTTTGCCAGTGAGCCAGGGCCAAAGAGGAGTAAGAACAAGGCACAAAGGTCCAGTCAGACTGCCGGCCTGGCTGAAAAGGCCTTCGTAGCTTTCGTCTTCCCTGACAAGATCACAGGAGTCTCTACAGTGGCCCTTGCCGGTCGCTGTGCGCTTGCTATCAGCTCTGACGAGCGCCGAGCGCCTCTTCGGTGCTCTGCTTGTCTTGCTTCCCCGAATACTTCCTTGCTGAGAAAGAATGCAAAAGGTGGCATGGATGACGAGGAACATGCTACCTTCAGCTCCATGACTATCTTAACCGCTATGACATGCTACGGCAAATCTGGCACGACGAATACTAGATGGCTTGGAGAATGTCAGGTGGACTTCTCCGTTTCGCACATCAGCGCGACTTGACATCTTGAATATCCACCGGTGCCAATGTGTTGCCGAGACGCGGCATGATACTTCAGAGCACAGGGGCCTGCACAGTACAGGACAGTACAGGCATTGAGAGGCAGATCACAGCCCCTTTCGGCTCCCATAATTTCGAGGCCTTGTGCTCTCCGAAAGATGCCTTGAAGTCGACAAGCCCGACGTGCGTGGCGACTCAAGGGGCATGCCAGAGGAATCAGACCTGCCCATCGAAACTGTGGACGACTTTGGGCGATTCGCTCTGGCAGAGCTTGGTCTCGATGGGGTGCGAGAAAAGCTAAGCCAGCTTGGCGCATGGTTCGCACAGGTGTAACTGCTGTCGCTGCCATGTTGCGAGGTGCCAATGCTGCTCTGAGGATGTGATGTCAATTCACTGTTGCCACGAAGCTTTGCCAGCGCTTCTAAGCGCCCCGGCAGAGATCTTAGTGAATGGTCGCTTGTTCCAGCTTTGCTTGAAGCACTCGTTCGTCTGGATGTCTTCGAGGCAGTACTGTCGGGAGTGCTCCATACAGGCATCACTGGCTCTGAGCTGTCTCTGCTTAAGTGGATTGCACTGCGACTCGCACTCCGCAAATCGTGGTGCCCGCGCGAGTTCTGGAAGATGGACAGATCACCAAGTGCCGCGATCCCATATGCCATGGCACGCTGGCACGCTGCTAGTTTTTGAAGCAACTAATCCGTTGAGTGCTGGTGGCTGTTCAGTTTTACGGTTGGAGGATGGCTACTGTAGAATATCCCACAACATTCTCGTCCCACTGTGCGAGTGTGTCAGCGGCACATTCTCAAGATGCCTCACGCAACACCACTTCACGTGGGCATGACGTGCAGATGCCAAAGCATGTCGGCTGGTGCTTCTTCACGAAAGTGGCTTTTTCCTTTGCAGGTGCTGGATGTTAACTGCCCGGGACTCCTTATGGATGGCCTCAGGCATCCGATAGCTTGGCCAGTGCATGCTGTTGTCCAAACCCTTCGCTTGGACAGCATGCAGTCGTTAACGACCGAGTCTTCCAAGAGAGATACTCGGAAATCGACTACTGACTACTTGTCATGTGTTGATGTTAAAAAGAGGAACGACCCGGCACTTGGGGTGACACTTTCGCGCCTGACGGCAGTCCCTTTGACTGACTATCAGAAGCAATGACGCATCAACCAAATCATGTGTCAAAGCGAGCATTGAAACGAAAGCTGACAGACTGGGTCCGTTGATGGGGCTGCCAAGTGTCTTTACACATCCCTGTTTCAGGATGAACTTGATCGTCTAACTTTTGGGCAAGCCCGAGCTTGCCCACGAAGGAAAGAGGATGGCGGCAGCTTCCGCATCTAGCCGCCTGACTGGATATGCAGCTTGGTCACGCAGTGGCGCATGCGGCTCGATTCACGGACACTTTGACAGACGACGGCAACTACAAACAAGTCAGACAGACAACACACACTCGAACTCCAGGCAAACCCTGGTGTGAGTTCTCACGAGTGATATCAACTCCAATCAAAGTCAGAGACTCAGAGGAGGCATCAAAGAATGTAAAATGTTGTGGGAGGTCTTCAACAGGCTCGAGTTCCCTT